AGAAAACCTGAGTAGTAAGTTGGCATCACAACCTGAACCCAAGTGCTGCATGTAATCATTCTCATGTGAAAATGCCCCATTTGCCTCCAAAATGGGCCCTTACTCATTATTTAGGCACTAAGTTGTCTGAGCTATTTATTCATTGTGCAAACAATTTTTTTCCCATAATGAAGCCCATTATGTGAAAAAGTCAACCTTAAGTAGTGTGAGGACACAGTTCATATAAAAATCAATGCAACCTTTCACTGAAGCATAAATCAGATCAGCTCTGACATATGTGAAAATATTTGGGGAATGCTTAATGACATTTTTGTGTTCTTGTAAATTATGTGCTTTGGGCTGACTTTAAAAGCAGAAATAGGGAAAGCTCATCTCATATCAGGAAACATCAGCAATTGAAGCCACTACCTTTCTCGTGATAGTTTCACAGATCTTCATCTCATACATCTTACAATAAGCCCACACACGTGGAAACATAGAATCATTAATATTGGAAAGAGCTGCTATCCTCTTTGAGGTTCACCAAAAGCTGATTTCTAATTTTCAAAGTGACAATACCTAATCCCATTCAGATATTTCCCCCCTTCAGAATATAATTCAAACATCGGTTAAAGCCGCTCTTGCTGCATAGAAAAGTTACTATCCCATTGAATTTTTGCTCCTGCATGCATGTCCTGTGAGTTTCTTCTTCAGGATGAAATTCCCATTTTGGAAATCACTCCTCCAAGTAATTGTTCTGTGGTTGGTTCTTTGGCTCTAAAAAGAGAAATACAGGAGGCAAGGAAAAGCTCCTTCATGTACTTATTTTGAGGGATAAGTACAGCATTGTGCCTGGCTGACAGTCAAAGGTCCAAGAGCTGGGACAAATCATGCAGTAAGTAAATGAAAAGGGGACCTGTGGAAACCCAAATGACACTAGCTTTCTAGGGCTGGTATGGAGTATGGGAATCTTAGGAAAAACAGGGATATATGGACTAACAAAATGAGTGAGCTTTCAGAACTCATTGCAAGGTGGAATATTTTATATATGTAATAGTTCATTAGACTATTTAGCTAGGACTTGTAGAAATGGGAAGAAATATGTGCAGCTTGAAACCTTTGCTTTTCAGTTGGCTGAGGCTGCAAATATACCATTCTTCAAGGGGAAAGAGCTGGGAGGTCAGTGGGCAGGTAGAAAGGTATTTAAAATTAGAGGGCTGCATGGATAAGAGCTGCTCCCCTGACTCTGTGAATGTCAGGCACAGACCACCACTATCAAAATCAAGTGATGTTTGTTCTCTTAACTACAGAGAAGAAACAACATTTGCCCAGCAGTGAAGAGCAGTTACTGTGACTTTGGAGTCTTGAGTATTTATCAGCAGGCTTGGAAATCATATAAACCTTATCTCCTTGTTTGTGTTTTTGAAAAACAGATAACTTTGCCCTCTGAAGACACTGCTATCTTTATTGGGCAGATGAAGTGGGCTTGGTGCCTGCTCTTCTTCAGGCACTTGCATTCCTGCTTCATGGAATTCTGCTGTGATTTGGGCTGTTACCATGGCCTGGGACTCACTCCCTGCAGAGCTGCTGTCCCTAACCGATGAGTCCTCTATCAATTATCTTGGCTTATTTATTACTTATATGGCATAATAACCTTAACATATTTTGACTTGTTCCAGTCACTCTGGACTACACATGGGTTCCCCTTCCCTGACAGAAAACTGTAGACCCATTCTCTGCAGTAAGTCAGTGGTTACTTTCAGATACTTGGCTACCTGTAGTGTCCTCTCAGGAAGTAAACATGTTGGTAGGAAGTACTGAGTATATGAAAGGTCCTCTCCTAGCCTGAAGTTTTGTTTTCCAATACAAAATAAGGAATTCCAGCCTTGACTCTGAAGGCCAGCGTGAGATGAACGAAAGCACGGATTTAGCAAATTTCACTTGGTGCAGCCATAATCCTCCCACACCATGGCTAGACACAGCTGGAGTCACCCAAAGGACCTTTCCTGCCACAAGAGTGTTGCCTTGACTTCTGTTGATGTGGAGAGATGGCAACGTAGTCTTGGTAAGGTTTAATCTTAGCTCCATCCAGAGCTGAATCCCCTACATCTTTCAGTGCTGCTCCACCACTTGGCTGTGGAGGGAAAAGCCTGCTGGACAGACTGGAAGTTACAGCTAAGGGAAGCAGAAAAGGCAGTAGTTGTTAGCTGATGCTGTCAGGAAAAGTTTTTTAGTGCGTTGGGGGTCAGGGACATGGCAAACTGCCTGAAAGCAAATGCTTGCCCTTGCTGGGTCTGCCTGTGCTGGTGCATAGTGCCAGGCCCCTTCTTGCTCAGAGCAGGGCTAATGGTGAGGACTTTTGCAGCCTTACTGGTTTGCATTGAACCTGCAATACAGAGCCCAGAAACACAGTGAGATGTTTTTTCAGAGGTGAAAACTCTGCAGTGCATATTTTGATGTTCCCTAATGTAAGTGACATTATGGAATGCAAAAATAGCTAGATGTAAAAAATAGATTGAATCTATTTACTAAACCATTTAATCAGATTGTAAGCTTTCAAACCTTTCAGATACACTGCCTTATATTCTGATTATTTAGGTCTCCGAATGTCAGGAACCCTGGGAAAAAAATCCTACTTAAATCCCTTGGTGTTTCACACTTGCATAGGATGAACTGACTTCTTTGCCCTAGTAGAAAACTTCAGGAAAAAAAAAACAACCCAAAGCTCTATATTCAGAGATTCAAAGCCACATTCCTGTGGCTTCATACAGGACATGACACTCCAGTAAGACCCCTGCTGCTGTATGCCCTGCTCCCTCCACTCACAGTGACAACGTTGAGTGAACTGCCTGGGAAGTTCGTGGTGTGGCTTCCTGGAGAAGGGTGCCTCTGAGCACGGGGCACTGAACCCGCCGAAGCCAACAGGAGGTTAACTCAGATCACAGCTATTCCCATAACCATGTATTACAGACTGCTGGATTTTGTTTCAGTGATGAGCTTCAAGTACAGCCAAAAGCGAATAGAGGCACGTTGACCTCATAGTTTTGCGAACACAGATTGAGCGGTCCAGGACAATTAAAAGCAGAGAATACGTGCCATCTCCAAACCCCTGGCGAGGCACTGCCAGAAGTTACCGCTGCCCCGTCCGACTGAAAAGACATTAACACCTGCTGCAGAGGAGGTTGGAAGGCAGCCATCCTCGATGGATTGCTTACGAGCACTGACTAGAGTCAAACCGAATTCAGTCAGAGATTTACACAAGCCCCATAATCTAATAGTAGAGTTTACTTTACGAGAGTGCCACACCAAAGATAGTAAAATGCAGTTTTAGCTAACAAATCGACATGCTTCCACAGAAAAGCTCCAGCCATCATGGAGCATGTCAGCACTGCAGAGAGCCTGGCGCGGATTTATAGTTTTCAGTTTACTGCTGAAGAGTTATTGTTAAGTCCATTGTTATAGGCTTTCTGCAATTAAAAGTTCCAGTCACACTTATCGTTTTTAAACATAGCTAATAAAACCCAGTAAATTCTAAGACATTATAGGTTTTACCATGCTGTTAAACATCTCAAACTTTTTTATATTGGACCTTTGACCTATATTAGGAGAGACTTTGGAAGCAAATTGGCTGTTCTAAGCTGCTTTACTTCTGATTTGCTTGGATATGCAAAACTTCTTATAGTTTTTTTTTACTGTAGTAAGAGATATAGCAGGGCAATACTTAGACATTTTCCCTCATGCATGCAACAGGTGATCATAAGCTAAGTACTATGTCTCTTACAAGTCACCTTCCAATGTTCTGTGCTTTTTGTGTCATAAATTATAAAGAATGATGGTTATTTTTGTTGTAGCAGCGACTTTTGGTCTTTTCTCTCACGTGAGTAATGTTTTCTCTCTTTTCTATCAAAGCTTTAGGAAAACATACTGTGCATTTTTTCTACAGGTGGCTACAGATACAAATTTTACTTCTGATCACCTGTATTCATGGGTTCGGAAACATATTAGGGTACATGGATGGGGCACAGAACCTAGACAGGTGGACAGAATAATTTTTCCCTGTGTATTTCCCAGGACTTTGTGAACTAGCCTCAGCAGCCTCACAGTGGACACTTACAGGATCCAACTTCTACTGACAAGGTTATGGATCTGCTTTTTAAATGCTTCAAGGTTAATCTTAGTTTCAAATTCCATGAACATTCAGAGATCCTAGTGCCAAGTCAGTATACTTTGAGATATATATATTGCGAATGGTATCTATTGAGATATAATATCCACACAAGTAGAATTCCTCTTGTAGAAGCACAGATACTATAAAAATCCAAACATATCTAGTGGAAAAAACCAAATAACAGAAAGCTCATATTCGTCAGAAACCAACTTTACTGTAAGATAATTGCTATTTGCACCCTGCGTTTCATTGCAACAACCGGGACTGGCTCTTTGCACTACAAAAGAGTCTCACTATCTTTGAGATCGTCGGATGGGTTAAGTATACAGACAGAGGAAGTAAGAAAAACAGCGTGCATGATCTGGAATAGAGATTACTGAATGGAGGGGTGTGTGTAGGACTGAAAACCAATATCCCTCTGAAAGCTTTGGGAGGCTTAGTGCAGAAGCTTGAAACCCCTGCTTTAAAAATGTGGATCAGAAACTTTTTATCAAGCTGAACACAGTTGTTGATCCCTGATCTCGCCTCTTCCCATACACCAGAAAGAGGCAAAGCTTTACGCCAGGTGGGATGCACCTTGGTTGAAGCTGTGGGCACACTTTTCCCCCAGTGGTATCGTTTAACACATTACATCTTCAGGTTTCGCTTATCAAGTCTAGCCGCTGGGAACATTGTGTCTTTACAATCAGAAAGTCCAGTTTCTGTATCAAAGGACGCAAAATGCACACACCCACATCTCTCTGCATTTTTAAAAGCCCATCATCTATTGCAAACTTGTGCAATCTGCATCAGAGATTTAAAAGAAAGAAAGAGAGAGAGGTTTGTCTTTTAAGAAAAAAAAAAACAAACTTACCAAAAATAACTGAAGTTCTCTAAAGTTGCCCTGAAGTTGAAATAGCCCAGAACACCAGTGCAGAGCCTGCCTTAAACTCTCTCTCTTTCTCACTCCCCCTCTCTCTCCAGCAATTGGAAGGAGGGCTGTGCAGAAATTCAGCAAACAATTTTCCTTCTATGTCGACCGGGGCGTTCCTCTACGGGCAGAAAGGGGATGGCTAAGCCTGGGTGAGGCTCGTTGCTCTCTCCTCAAGCCAAAGAGCGCTGTCGCAGATTACACAGCCTGTGAAATCCAATCCCTTTCTCTACTCAGGCAACAGCTGTACGGCTTCAGCTGAGGCGGGAGCGGCGGACAGACCCTGGGCTTGTTGCTGGTCAGGCTTTCCATGCTGGGGAATGGGGGGGACACGGGTTTCCGTAAACTCCGTGTCTTCTCCCAGGTCACTGCCTACAGCCACAGGCACGAGTGTACACAGGGTGGAGATGCGGGGCAACTTCCGCGGGACTGAAAGTATATGGGATGTGGGCGCCCGCGCAAAACAAACATCTCTTTTCCTGAAATTCATTCCCAGCTTCGCTCCAGGACATAACCGGGTAATTAACGTTATACGTATTAGTAAACTCTCATGCAAGCATGCACACACACAGGATGCAGCCTGTCAGCCTGTCACAACAGCGCGGTTCAAAGGGGTTTCAAGGCTGCTCTAGTGCCCTCTCTAAGTTCGTTTTTCCTTGTCACTTTCAGTCAGCTGTTTAATTCTTTCCGAAAAAAAATCCCTGAATGCTGAGCTGACAGTCCTTACACCAAGTGAAGCGTTATGGTGGCTCGCAGGGTGGGAGTGCCAGTGTGCTTTAGTGCTGCCTTCTCTGTGTGTCCTGATACCCTACACTTGAGGAAAGCTGCTTAGCGCCAGCAGAAATGGATTTATGAAAATTCCCAGCCCCTCCTCTCACCTGTTTCTATTTCTCCACCCCATGTACAGGAAAGAAATTTATAATACAGCTGATTCCTCCCTCTCTAAGGAATCCCACTGATCCTTTGACTCCTCCTCCCTGAAGCTTTGAAAATCAGAGCAATAGATTTCACTGTGGGTTTCCGTGTGCCACAGAGGCATTTGGCTGCTCGTTTGCATGCTGTCAAATAGAGGTGAGGTGAGAGAGGGTGCAAAATACAAACAACACATAAGCGGCCCTGGGAGTGTCCTGCAATCCCTCGGCCGCTTTGCCAACACCCCAGAGCAGGTAAAAAACACCGGCCAAAGGAAAACTCCTGTGTTTACAGATCAGCCTCACTTCATGTTGAGGCAGATGCTGTGGTAGGGATTTTTATGCTGCTGGCCCTGAAACTCTGCAGATGTTGGATTTCTGGACCCAACTTTAGAATGGGCACACACGGTTCCTACAGAGGTCATGTGGAAAGTTGAGAGGGAAAACTGAGTGTAGAGCTCTGCTTCCATCCTGTGTGGGTACTCAACACAGGCATTTTATGAAACCAGGTCTTCACAGAACTACAGTATTTATATTAAAGAAAATACTGTAATTTGAGCAATTAATGTATGCATATAATGTGTAATTATACATTATATATTAATTATAGAAGATCACATATATAACAACTTAGAAATACTATACATAATTTCATCTAATTAATATACATGGTTTGTCAGCATATGAACTGAATAACACCATAAATCGTGTCTATTTTTTCTATGATTCTACTGGGCATCCACATAAATTATATAATATATAATCACATATATTGTGTGACTATATATTATATAGATAATAATATATAATTAATATGTTGTGAAGCACTATGCAGTTCATACGCAACCTCTGTCTCCTCGTGAGTGTGGCATCCACATCAAGAAATAAAAAAAATAGGTTGGCTGTAGCCAATGCAGGGATGTAAGGCTGCAAAGGAGGAAGATGAGGCAATGGGACTGCGTCAGCACAGGGCATGTGAGATTCTTCAAGGTGGCACGAGGAAGTGTTCAAGACCATCTTGGATGGGGCTTTTAGCAACCTGGTCTAGTGGAAGGTGTCTCTGCCATGTTGGAGGGGTTCCAATCCAACCCAACCTTCCAACCCAAACCATTCTATGTTTCAAGAGAGACATCCTGCAGCTGCCTCAAGGATGGAGGCAACCAGAAGCAATAAAGGCTTCCTGAGGGGCGGTCAACAGCAGTAAAGTAAACTGAGATGGCTGGGAACAGGAACAAGGCCTCTCTAATAGCAAGCTTTTGGCTTTCTCTGCTGCCACCCAGAGAAGTCTATCCCCAGTCTTCAGGACTATACCAAGGTCCAGCCTTTCTGAACCACCTTTCAACATCCTGATAAACAACATATATTTTTAGAAACAGACATGCAAAACAAGAAGTGCAACCTACATCATGGATTGATATGGAGACAGCTCATTTGGATGCAGAAATCTGCCTCGTCCCTCCAGAGCCAGCCGTGCCAAGCAGCAGCACTTCAGCAGGGCACAGGCTCTGGGGTGGCAGCAGCAGTGTGCTCCATCCCCATTCAGTGCTGTATTTCAGCTGTCTTTGGTGAATATATGGATGGGCGTTGCTTCGATCTTTTAAGAATTTTTAAAGCCCACATGAGACAAAATCCTGCCTAAGTTGAGAGGAACCAACTGTTTTTTCCATAAACCTGGAAGAAATGACTATATTCTTTTTCATGGTATTGGGAAATCTATGTTCATTGTCACTGGCTTTTTTCCAGTTTCAGAACTGGAGGTGTAAGCCTGAGTGTCTGAGCAGTGCCCTGCTGCTCTAACTCCAGTGAAGACAACTCCTGTGTTGATCTACCCTCACGTAGCTTCAAGTCTAAAATCTCCCCTCTTGTCAGCCAATATGGTGCAGTTCTGTGATTATCAAATCATTTCAACAGTGTTTGACTGATACGAATGCATAATGCTCACTTGGTTTATTTTTAAATATTTATCAAATCCACTGTTTGTCTACTGAGCTATTAAAAAAAATGCTATCAGAACGATAATTTCCAATTCTCTGAGTGATTGGAGCACAAGAGAGATGACTCATTCAGTGGTCATACTCCAAATAGCCCTCGTGTTTACTCTTCTTGATAGACATCTAAATATTAAAAGATAAATCTCTTTGAGTTATGCTGTGGCAATACTGAATGTTCCTCTCTGCTCTCCTGCCTTGCCAGGGAGCACCACTCAAATTTCTCTATCCCACCTCTAACCCCATTTCCCAACTTCCCTGTACTACAACGTTGTTTTCTTTACTCCGTTCACAGGTAAGGCTGGGAACACACAATTGAATGACACAAGCTTTCTTTTATTAGTGTTATTCACACCCTGACCTGTGGATGGACTGATGTTAGACTTACGCATTAGGGTGTGCTGCTTTACTAGTAATTGAAAAACAAGATGAAAAACAACGGGAATTTTCTTGTGTTTTCTTTGGCCTAAAGAGAGAGAGACAACATGTTCCCTGA